AATTATTTTTCCAAAATATTGTTTGAAATATACTAAAGTATCTTGAAATACGTTGAAACATTCCAAAACAATTGTGCATATGCATTGAAACCTTACAAAACACCTTGAAACTTTATGAAACACCTTGAAGTATTAGAATTTCGATTCTATCACTGATTTGTTTCAGTCTCATTGGAAACGAAAACGTTTCGGATGTTTCGAAACGAAATTTTAATCCTTGACGCAAACATACACGAGACGCTCACAAAAATAATATATCGAACAGGTAATAAGCAAGAATCAATCACCCAATAGGTATACGAGATTACAAGCCAAAACGACCCAACTTTTTACTTCTCAACAAACACCAAGGATTCCGGCTAAGGGTATGCAACGTCTGCATACAAAACGTGCCCAATCTCTCTTGGGTTATTGCAGACCTTAGCATGTGTATATAAAGCTGTACATGTCAGTTACAACTTACAACCGAACTGTAATGTTGGCACCAACCAGCTTTGGCCAACTTAGCTGTGTAGTTGACATCCACTAGCTGCTAGGATTATTGACACCAATTAGTTTCGCCCTCAAGGATGTGGATGATTTTGCCACACCCCCACAATGTTGTTGTACATGGCTGGAGCAGTTGTGCTTTCGTAACCGTCGCATGACCCAACCATCAACTGGTTAGAACCACCACACATGATGTGCATATGCCATCCTTGTTTGCCCACAATACTTGACTTCCTTGGCCAACATGCCAAGCCATGTCCAGCCCATGACTTGATCTTCCAAGCATGCAATGCACCTTAATTGCAGCCCACACGACTAAGCCTTGCTTGCTTGTGCATGCATGTGTGCATCCATGCATGTGTTGCATCCCTCAGCCATGCATGGTGCTTCCACTCAAGGATCAAAATATTGTTTTGAAACGGTTGAAACATCCGAAACGTTTCCGTTTCTAAAGAGACCGAAACAAATCAGTGATGAAATCAAAATTTTAATATTTCAAGGTGTTCTATAATGTTTCGAAATATTTTGTTGTATTTCAACGCATTTGCACAATTATTTCGGAATGTTTCAAGGTATTTCTAGATATTTTGGTATATTTCGAACAATGTTTTGAAAAAATAATTCTTAATTTTTTTATTATGTTTTCAAAACGGGTCGAAACATTTCCGAAATATATCGAAATGTTTTCTTTTCCTAGGTGACCAAAACAATACATCAAAACGAAATTTTGATCATTACTTCCACTAACTATGGATCCCACCGATTGTCGACCACTTATTTCTTAGGTCTTGGACTTTGCATTCCTTTCCTACACCCATGACAAGCATTTTTGGGCTGTGCCTTGTTTTGGCGTGCCAAGGCTAGGGGACATAAGGGTTGCTGGCCACACACCCCTTCGTGGAGCCATCCCCCTCCCGTCTGTTATAATAACGTTAGGAACAATTTCTGTAGTGACAACAATAGACATAATCTAAATTGAGTCATAATGACGAGAGCCTAGGGTATAGTGCCTGCATACCACATAGAACTTTTGTCAAACACCTTAGCTACCAAAACAAGAATACAACCAAGTCCGTAGGAAGCCATCTTGCACAACAGGTGTGCGAAGCCAAGCATACCCCCACCTTTGGCTAAGGCATGGGGCACCATTGGGCGAGGCACTCGAATGCCACAGCCATGCCAACAAGCTAAGGGGCTAACAAATGGTATGGTGATGGAAAATAACAGTTTTATGTCTCTTTGAAGTGAGCTAGTATTATGTGTAGTAAGTTGGCAGGATTAGCAAGGCTTGGCACCATGGCTGGTATGGCAAAGGAAAGAACAGAAACAATTTTTGAAAGAGTGATATTTTTTTAGCAGCTTTGTATGTGGAAACTTGGGACATTTATGATTGATGGGATGGACGTAGTATGATGATTCAAAATAGAGTAAACATGGTTGGGGCTCTTATTACAAAGAGAGCTAGCATCTTTAATCATGAATTGACTTGTAGTAGTCTAGAGTACCTTATTCATATAGAGGTTGGCACTATTCTTGCCTTCATAATGGGATTGGCGTATTAGACCAAGGTTAGAAGGTTTGTAATGAAGTTCTATTGATGAGAGGAAATCTAGATGGTTGGAAATAACTTTTGAGGAAAATGAGGTGAGACATGCTATAGGAATACGAGTTGTCCTCTATATATAAGAATAGGAATAAGAGCTTAATTGGCGGGCAAGTAATCTTATCCGCAATGTAGCATTTGAGCCCTGTGGAGAGCGTTGGACACTAGAACAAAAACTGCCAGCCATGTCTTGGGCAGCGGTCGAACGTTAGAGTGAGCGATGACTACAGTAATTTGTTTTTCATGTCCAATCCGATTTCCTAAGTCCTGAGGGAGTTATACACTTTTTTTTGGGAAACCAAAGCTTTAAATCAACTCTTTGAGTATCAAGGGATGGTAACTACAAGCCATCATAGCCAGACTTATTTTATAACTCTTTTTCAAAAACTAAAACCCTATAGTTTCAAAAAAGTTTTCACACCAAAAAGGCATGAGTCATGAACGGATCAAGTATTCACACTCTAAATCTAGTTAAACAACCTAAATTATGCCAAACTAGGGCAGCTAGGTATCTATGTCATCTTACCTCACCTAAGCTTGATAGGATTCAAAAAGTTTTTTTCATATTGATTTGTAGCTTGAGCTTCTTCACCATATCTTAATTTGGTCTTCAATCTGCAATAACCTCTTGACCATGAATTTAGTTGAAATTCAAGATTACCCATTGACCTATGAAATTCACCAATTACAATAAATTTCCTAACAATTTTTAAGTGCAGACATGAGAGGAACCTCATATGGGCAAGATGAGACAGCTAACATAAAGAAAGGTCACCTAATGTGCACGAGGGTATGAGGAAAGATTTAAGGTGGAGGTTGGGAGGTGGGTGTGTTAAAATTTCTTGTTGCAGATTGTTTTGATTATTCGTTATTGTTTAGTGCGCTAATTACTTGCCATTTGAAGTGGCATATAAGTGAAGGTAACCATGGTCAAGAGGAATGGTGCTAGGGGTCAAAGATTAGAAAGGTAAAACATCTGGTAACCATGGTCATGACGTTTGTCGGCATCAGTACTTTGCGACCAGCACCATCATTGGGCATATGGTAGTGGTGATGAGAATTTGTTAAAGGTGTGATGGTGGTAATCCATGTGGATTGATGTGGTGGAGATGACTTTTGAGGTTGGCTGGTGGTTGGTTGTGAAGCTTGTTATGAATTGGAGACTTTAAAGTCCCTGCTTCAAAGAAACAATTCTTTGCTCTTTTTCATATCTGGACCAGAAAGCCATTGTTATGCAACATTGTTGCAATGTAAATTAAAGAGTGGTCTTTTTGAAAGGTACTTGTAACAAAACAACAGTTTGTTCCAAAATTGAATGTGATAATCGAAGTACATATTTATAAGGCAAAGAACTGGTAGAATCAAGATTTATCCTGCTCACTATCTTCTTTGACTTGCATAATGGGTAAGTAATACAACTATTATTTTCAAGATGTTTTGGATCGCTCGATTCTTATTAACAAAAGAGACTTTACTGAATTGTGCATAAAAGTTTCCTGTTAAGATTTATTCACATGATTTTGCGGAAGCAATGGAGCTTTGAAAATAAGTTCTACTACAATTTTTTAAGTCCTAAAACGTGCAATCATATCAAATAGGATAATTGATTTGTTTTTTCATAGAATTATAACATGTACCATCAATTTCCTATTGAGAATGTTCTTTTATAATCAATCAAATCGAGACATTTTTTATGCACAACCAATGATTTGATGAATTAGTCAGGCTTAGTTGTAGAATTGGATGTTTGGACTTTGGAGTATATAACTTGATCCAACTCAAGCATGTGGATGAAAGTGGCTCTGTTGCCTGCATTGCATTAATCTGCATTGCATCCTTTAATATGCAAGTTGTTTATATTTTCTCAGGTAGAGTCCACGCAGACCATGATACGCATTGTGGGCCTTTCAGCCACTCTACCCAACTATTTGGAGGTTGGTCTTTTGAGCTATTTTATTTTATGGTTTGGAAGTTTCTTGGCCATGCACTTATTGTATGCTACATTTCTGTTCATCAACCTCTTTTATCCATATATCAAGATTGCTAGTCTTTTGATTGGTTGTTCCCTTTATAAACATCTAGGTTGCACAATTTTTGAGGGTGAATCCAGATAGGGGTCTCTTCTTCTTCAATTCTAGTTATCGTCCAGTGCCTCTCGCACAACAATACATTGGAATTAGTGAGCATAACTTTCTTGCTCGCAATGAGCTGCTGAATGAAATATGTTACAATAAGGTCTTGTTTCTTCTTAGGCTCTCCTTTGCTATGTTATTCCTGATAGTGGACATTGTTGGGGATGATGACATTTCTTGTGCCAGGTTGTTGATTCGCTAAAACATGGGCATCAGGCTATGGTTTTCGTTCACTCACGGAAAGATACAGGAAAAACAGCGGCTAAACTGGTAACAAAAGCACTTCCATCTTTGAGGAAATTGTTAGAAAACATTTGCATGTATTTTGAGTTCTTGTAATTGATCAAGGCATCGCTTGGTTGCCTGACTAAGGGGGACTGGACTAAAAATACCTAGTCCGCCCTTCTCCTATGTGTTGCGCAAATTCACTCCTGCCTATGAATTAGATTGTGTTCAGAGTGTACATCCAACAGTGTTTTACTACAGGCCCAGGGGTTCTTATAGTCGCGAGACTGTTAGGTAAATGGGATAAGAAACAAATTGGTCTCCTGTTCCTAATCCCATCTTTTACCCAATGTTAGGACAAGAATTGTCCAGGGATAAATTGGATCCTTCCCCTCTTTCTATCACCCTATGTGAGATGGGACATAACTGTCCAACCCCCATGATCCAGTCTGACAGCCAAACGAGGCTTGAGGATATATTTAGGCTCTTTTTTGTGGAAATATGTTCTCCTTTCATTTTTACGTGAAAGCATAATTTTAAAGCATATCATGCAATGATTGTTATCATTGGTATGAAAAGAATGCTCAAATTAGGATTTCACTTGGAGCTCTCCTTCAATTTGGATTAGTCAAGTTTCAAGTTAGTATTCAGTCTTGTTCTATAATAGGGGTCAGTATGTGTTTGTATCATTTCATTGTGGTTTCTTAGTTTTAGGACATAGTCACATAAGAGTATTTAATTTCAGTAATTGTAGGGCATGAGTTGTGGTTATTAGCCATGAAGTTTTGAGGTCATTTTAGGTGGTGGACATTAGCAGATTTTAATAGCCAATGTCTTTAGGCTTGTCTGATCACAAAGACATGCTGGCACCCAAGTTTACTTGACCAAAAGTTCTCTTGTTCCTTGAGATTTAATCCTCTCTCTACATTATTGTATTGGTTTGTTTCAAAGTGGTGATTGAAAATACCTCCTCTTTCCCATCATTTGGGACATAGGAGCAATAATTTGTTATTTTTGGACACATCGAAAGGAAGGGCGAACTCTAATTACACTAATATTGGGACATAGGTGTAAATTCGTAGATGATAGACTACTCCGATGCAGATTCTACTCATGAGTCTGATTGTTCTTTCTTTACTGTCAGTTACCTTAAGGCGCCTTCCTTGAACCGTAGACCTTCTCGGTAAAACAACTCAAAACTGATTATTATCAAAAGAATTTGAACTGTTTCAAAGACCCAACATGCATTTTTTGTGCATTGGGCTTTTTTATTAGCTGAAATATATATCAGTCAGGCTTCAATATTTTTTGGACAAAAAAAGGGAGATGGCTCCATGTGTTCTGAGTCATTATTTGTAGGGGCGGAGCCACCCTTGGGCAAGGTGGGCACATGCCCTCCCTCAAATTTTTTTTTCTTCACATTTGACATATTTTTTGAAATAAAATTTAGACATATTTAATTGTGTCCACCCTATTATTGTGTTCGGCTGATATAGATTTGAATAGTTCCTTACCTAAATGATTGTTAATTTTTTGAACAATATTATTGAGACCTAATTGAAGGACTTAATGCATTGTGATATTAAGTCTAATAGTGAGTCTCAATATTTAATAAACTCCATTATCTATCCGATGGCCACAAATCATTAGGTTTTCACTAATTAAATCTTAAATTAGGTACAACTAATATTATTGTTTACTTTTAGACACGTTTCAGACATGTCTGAATATGTTTTGAACATAATGAGGTTATTTTATAATTTTTTTAAATTATAGGGTTATTTCGTTTTTGTATAAACATAGGTGTCGTTATGTAGTAAATTATAGGATCATAAATGGAAGATTGTTATTACGATTTTATATATATAAAAAATATTGTTGATATGATTGATTTATAACTCTTTCAAATAATAAAAACATGTCAAGGTCAATTGTAAGTGACAATAATTAGTCTCATTCTTGATAAGAAATTTTAAGTATTTTTTTTGTCCATGTTATGCATATCGATTTTTAATCTTTGATGTTTATTGAATTGTTAAGTATTAAATATAATTTCAATAACTATGAATCTATGAACTTCTACGGTCAATTAAAAAAAAAATTAAACATGCTAATGTGTTCACCCTAAAAAAAAATTCTGGCTCCGCCCCTGATTATTTGTATTTTGCTCCAGGAGCATTACCAAAGTGTTTCAAAAGGGGTGTTAGTGCTAAATAATTTGCAGCTAGCTCTATTAATGATGCCATAGATTACGGACTAAGAAGCATGGATACGGATACAGGGATATGACAAAATCAAAAAATATAGGACACAGGTATGATGAAGATACGGCTAATTAAAATAATTATATTATATTTTTATATATATAACAACGACATTAATAATAACAAACAACCAAGACATAGCAAATATTACTTAAATTGAAATAGATCAAAGATTCAAAAAGATACATTTATAGTCCACAAGTTTGCTAACAAAAGAACACAAAAACAAATGGAATCCAACATCCTCTTTCAATTCACTTCAAAGGGTTTAACATCTTCATTGCCAATTCCTTCATCAGGAAATAGTATGGCCTCCAAATCTGGTTCATCAAGGGAAAGATTCGCAATCTCAAGTATCCCACTACCCTCTTCATCCATGAAATCAAATGCATCTCGTGTAACATCCCAAATCTTAGTGTTGCCTTCATCGTATGGAGGAGATTTCCTTGATAAAAAGCAAAGATTGGAGTGTACAAATACCAAGTCTTCAGCTCTATTTGGTATGATTTTGTTCCTCTTTAAAAAGTGTATAAAAGAATAAGTGCTCCAATTCCTCTCACAACATGAGGAAAAAAGTTACCCAAGTAACTTCAAAGCCAAGTTTTGGGGCAAGGGTGCCGTAGAGCCATAGATAACCCACCAATAATCCAGCTTCGTGAGTCCTCTATTACTCATGGAATCATGACTTGCAAATTCTTTAAAGCACGCTGAAAACTTGGCATACTCTTCTTGGGTCTTTCTTCGCTCCTTATCTTCCCGCTTTCCTTCATGACGAAAAATAACAGCCTTCACTTGTTCAATCATAGAATCCCACATATCATAAACTAAGTGTAGGCAAGACATATCTGTATCGGCCTTCCTTGGCATCTTATAAATGGGTTTAGTGAAGGAAAGTATATAATCAATTTCGTCCCACCACAAATCATCTAATATTTTCTCCTTCACAAAGGCCGCTTTTTCAGCACCATCCTCTCTATATGAAGACCACCGATTACTAATAACCATGTTTTGGAGACCACGCTTTAGAGCTTTAAATCTTTTAAGCATCACGATGGTTGAAGTAAAACATGTCTCTGCAATTGAGAGCATCTTCAAATTCACATGATCATTAAACATGTCCAATCTCATGCTGTGGTTTATAATAAAATTTTTAATGTCCACACAATCCCCAACAATAATTGAGATCCAATTACATTTTTCATAAACACGTCCATTGGCTTCTGTGTTTTTTAGTGCACAAATATTTTTCAAAGTAAGATTAAGTGTGTGCATCGCACAAGGTGTCCAAAAGATGTGTTTATAATAACCCTGAACCAGCACTCCTGCACTCCTACAAATGGGTGCATTATTAGTGATCACTTGGACCACATTTTTAGGTCCAATTGTATGAATGATCTCCAGAAGCAAGTTGGATATGAAATATTTGTCCTTAGGTTCACCTTTGCAATTAACTGCTTTTAAGAACATAGGCCAACTTTCACACACTGCCATGAAATTTATGATTGCCTCCTTTGAGCATCCGTCCAACCATCAGAAACAATACTTACCCATTTTTCTTTCCATGGTTGCTTCGTTGGCTCTAACAACCTCTCAAGGTTTGCTCTCTTTTTGAAGAAGTGAAGTCCTCAACATATTATAACCAGGAGAGATATAGCCACTAATCATATGACTAGTTGCAAAAGTATACGAGCGACAATAATGTGGATTTCTACCAAGGTGGAATGGTAAATGAGTAAAACATCCTTGCAGTCTCACTATGTAGCTCTTTTCAAGCTCCAACATTAAAGGCTTTCTCAAGAACAAAAGTAGCCTTCTTTTTTTTTAGATCTAAACTAGTCCCTTGCATTAATGATTCAAATCACATATCACTACTAACACTTGCACTCTAAGAAGCTGCTTTGCTTGATGCTGAACATGGTGGTAAAGAGACTTGTTTGGGCAAACTTCTTTTCATTCTCACATCAGTTTGATCAACTACTCTTTGTATTTCAATTAATAATTATGGAGTCACTTTGCGGCATACTTGAACTCTATGACCACTGATTTTTAACAAATGTGCCTTATCCTATAATATGGTCCTTTAAAACTCGGTTGACAAAAGTTGTATTGAAAGTGAACATTTCCTCCCCCTACACCAATTTTATCTACTTTTGCGACATACTTCCATAAAGGGGTGTTATCATCACCGCCATCTTCACTGCCATCTCCACCGGCACCAACAAGAGAGCTCATTTTCCTAAATTCTATATAACAGACAACAACACAACACTTTTCAGAAGAGCTGCTAGATGACCAAAAAAAAAAAAGCACAACAAAAAGAGAAGACAAAAGCTAGAGTAGGTAAACAATTTTTGGTATTCGAAACTAGCAGCACACTAGCACAGAAGGTAGCAGCATAGATGACAAAAAAAAAAAACATTGCAACACAACAAAAAGAGAAGACAGAAGCTAGAGTGGGTAAGTAATTTTTGGTATTCAAAACCAATCACAGCAGCACAGAAGGCAGCAGCACAGCAGACCAGAAAAAAAACCCTTAGGGAAGCACCACATCAAGAAGATAGAGAAAAACAACAACACAACCACAACAAAAAAAAGCCCCAAAATTTAAAAAATCCTAAAACCCTAACTCAAATTTTTTAAAAGTCCACCACATACCAGAAGAAGGAACAAAAAAAGATCTGACAATCATAACAAAAAAAAAGAACAACAGATGTGAAAAAAAATTGAAACAGCAAGAGAAACCAGGAGATCGCGGGTCACAGGTTAGTCTTCCTCTTCTCTCTCCTTCTCCTCCTCTGGTCCTCTCCTTGACCTCGTTCTCCTCTTCTCTTCTTTCTTTCACACAAACACACTGAAAAGTTGAAGGCCAAGCCTTTTGATTTTGCCTTTTGTTTTTTTTCTTTTTCAACTCAAAACGACGACATATTTTGCCTTTTTTTTTGTTTCAGCCCCTAAGTTTTTATAATAACAAAAGTAACCCCGTCGTATCTCTACCGTGTCCATCTCGTATTCTCTCGTTTCCCCCACGTATCCGATTGAAAAAATTCAAACTTACTGTACAAGACACTTCTACAAGTGTCAGACACATGTCCGGTCGTGTCCCATGCGTATTCGTATTAGACACGTGTCTGACACTGTCATGGCGACCCCTCGGCAGTAGCCGTGCTTCCTAGGTTACGGATATAGTACAATATGCCGTTATCACTATCTAGTAAGGGCTTTGTAGCCAGCTTCGAAAACGGGTTCCAAACTTGAGCAGAGTCTCTTCTAACAAAGATGGGATCAAGTAAGGATGCAACTACAATTGATTCATAAAAGTCTGGATGATTTCCAACTCCATTTCCTCCTTTAGTTCAGCTTCAGGTTGTCAAAGTAGGATTTCATTTGTGATTTTTATGTAGTTCAAAGTGGAATGCATAAACTCTTTTCAATTTTACCTTAGAGGGTGATTCCTAAAAAAATCAAGGTTTTTTTTTTTCCCCTTTTCTATCTTCTTCTCCTCTTTATCTTCTTCTTTACTTCCATCTTCTTTACCTCCGGTCTTTGTTCAAGGGGGTAGTATCACAGCCCTTTTTCAGCCCCCAAACTCTATCCTATCTAGCTTAGATCAATCTAAATCACTCCTCTATACTTTGGCCCTTTGTTAAACAACTAAACACATTAAAAAAGGCTTTCGAGATTTCGACTTATAAAACCAAAAACATACTTTAACCTCTTAGAACCTTGAACCTACTTGTAAGGATAAAAATTTTGTTTCGAAACGTCCAAAACGTTTTTGTTTTAAAGGTAACGAATTAGTGATAAAATCGAAATTCTTATATTTTGAGGTATTCTGTAATGTTTCGAGATGTTTTGTAATAGTTTAATGCATTTGAACAATTGTTTTGGAATGTTTCAAGATATTTTATGATATTTTGATATATTCCGACTAATGTTTTAGAAAAATAATTCTTAAATTTTTTATTTTTTTCATTATGTTTCTGAAACATGTCAAAACGTTTGTGTTTCCTAGGTAAATGACATTTTGCTCCTTGCCTACTTGTAAGGATCATTACAACATATTCACTTTTCAGCCACCTCATAGGAAACAGACTTTTCGGAAACAATTTGGAAAAAGAATGGAAACGGATCGAAAATTTAAGAATCTATTTTCAAAATATTTTGAAACATTGGTTGAAATACACTGAAACATCTTGAAACATTTCGAAACATTGGTAGAAACATGCCGAAACATTTCAAAAAACCTCGAAGCACTAGGATTTTGATTCAATCACTGAATCGTTTCGGAATGAAATTTTAATCTTTGCCCCATAGAAACCTCGGGTCATGTTAGATTCCATCGGGTCGTGTAAGAGTCCAAGGAGAGGAGACTACCTTAAGACACCCCCACTAAGTCTAAGTGCAACCAGATCATTCATAATGGCACTCTTGCACAGAAGTAGCAAGAATAAATCATATGAAACGCTTCTTTGTAGAAACCTTCACCAATGAAGAACTGCTTCTGCCTTGAATACAAATAATTCAGACCATAGCCAATAAGTTCAACTTTTCTCTTGAACTTTTATTTTGTCCAGCAGCCCGGTTTTACAAGAACCTATTTCCCTACTAACAAAAATATAGTTTTCGTCAATATAGACAGGGCCTTTACATTATACATTTTACACTTACATGTGTGATGTATATATGAAAAACTGGAATTCTAGGCCCGAGTAATATAGAATTTGCTTTATGTATTGGATTTATCATGTGGCATTTTGCACAGGTTGAACTTGCCAGGAAGAATGGAGATCTGGAGACCTTTGGAAATGACACCCACCCTCAGTTTGAATTGGTTAAGGCAAGAAAGTCATGTTTGCCATCTTTTACTAATGCTCTTATTTATGTCTAAGTTGTGATGGATCACCCTATTTATGCATTTCAGCTGGAAGTTCTTAAGTCCAGAAACAAGCAGCTTGTTGAACTCTTTGAAGATGGGATTGGTATTCATCATGCTGGGATGTTGCGTGCCGATAGAGGTCTGACAGAGCGGCTTTTCTCTGAGGGACTCTTGAAGGCAAGTTTTTGCCTCTTGCAATTACTCTTAGAATCCACTGATATGTTGTTTTATGAGTTACATTATTTCCTCTTTCAGGTTCTTGTTTGCACTGCAACTTTGGCATGGGGAGTAAATCTACCTGCTCACACTGTTGTGATTAAGGTTTGTGCAACCTTTCTATGTTTGCACGTGTTGTTGATTGAGCTTACTAATACTTTCAATCAGTTAGTGACTTGGTGCTTTTTAGTGAAAAAAACAATTTGGAAATATTAGGACCTGGTTTGGATCTTGTGTGATCATGGTTCAGTTTAATTTGAGTCTTATTTTGTGTAACTTTACATTAGATTGTTGCTAGTGTAGTTTGATTGAGGTTTTCTTATAGGTAAAAAAAATTTCTTTCAAAATTTATGGGCTTATACATGTACAGGATGATCAAAATTTTAACTTTAGGAACTATTATTACTGGATCTCTTTTATGCATACTACATTTGGCTATGGCATCAGTTCAACAATCATGCTCAAGTTCTACCAAATCCACAAGCCAAGAAATGGTGGACCTAAGACTTTATGAATATGAATACTTTTTTGAAAGGACTATAACAATTTCGTATATCCCTGTCCTTTTATAAGCTCCAATATACCACTGAAAGTACTTATTCAGCTTTTCCTTCCTCTGGGTCTAAATGCATTTCAAAATTTCCAGAAAGAAGTTTTATTAAACTATCGAGATTGGTTTGCTTACCCAGAATAGAAACTTGAGTTTGGAACTCTGGTTTCATTTACTTCAAGTCAAGAAGTTTTAATGTCGACAGAGTGATCAGCCATTTTTATATCTCATCTTCCTCCTAAAGTTTTTATTTAATGGAGCTGGACCCTTGAGTCCCAGCCCTGGTAAAATATAAGCTTTTATGACATTTTATTATTATTATTTTTCATTTCTTTCTTTTTCCAAATTTTTGTGTTCTTTTGGGAGATGTTAAGGTACTTGAAGAGTTTTTTTGGTAGACGTGGTAATTAAGATAAGCCAAGGTTGTCCCTGTGTTAAGGAGTCACAAATCTTGAGATACTCATCATTATTTACAATAAATACTTGTGCTTTCATATGTGTTACCTTTAAATTTTTCCCACTAAACTGTTTTGGAGCTAATGCCAGTATGATGCAAACTGTATTGCACTGCTGCCAAAAATTACACCAGAAGGGCTTTTCAATAGCAGGGTGGGAATTATTGTCATGTTTATTTTTCCTTTATACGAAATGGGCTAATAAAAATTTCATTAGCATTTATTTTCCATTTTCATGACCCATATTTGGTTGAGATTTGAATGATTTTGTACATATTGGAATTTATTTTAATTTGTGTGGATTCTGATAGAAATAATCCAATTCTTTAAATATGTTACTATGGTAGCTCCTCAAGTATATTTGTATTAGTCGTTTATCCGATTATACACAAGTTGATTATGTGGCAGATAAATAATGGTTCCATCACCTAATGATTAATTACATGTATCAGTCTATTTGTATACAACGTATAGATATGGAGTAGCATTATGATATAAAGCTTCCACATTTGCTTTCCATAGGTGCCTTACCGTATTCACACTAGGCCTTGCATATAGACTTATGCATGATTTTTAGTCTTACTATATATTTACCCGGTACTCCTCAGTTACCGAATAATATGATAGACAACCTCCTAATAGGCTTACAATGAGCATACGATGAGCATGCATGAACCGACTAACCATACAACAACATAGGTAATATCAGGATGTGTAAATGTGAGATATATTAGCTATCAACACAAATTGATACCTTTCTTCCATTTTCAAGACCCACATTTGGTTGAGATTTGATTGATTTTGTACATTTTGGGATTTATTTTAATTTTTGTGGATTCTAATAGAAGTAATCCAATTCTTTAATTATGTTATTGTGGTAGCTCAGGTATGTGTATTAACCTTTTGTTTGATTACACACAAGTGGATCATATGGCGGATAATTAATGGTTTCATCACCCGATGATTAATTACATGTTTCAGTGTATTTGTATACAACGTATAAATATGGAGTATTCGGAAATTCAGTTTGGGTTTATGCCTAGTACATCAACTATAAAGGCTATATACTTGTTAAGGACACTCGTAGAAAATTACAGAGAGAAAAAGAAATATCTCCATGTGGTATTTATAGATCTTGAAAAGGCGAATGATAAAGTGCCTAGAAATGTAATATGGAGGGTGTTTGAGAGAAAAAAAGTGACGAATAGGTATATTGAGGTCAAGGATCAAAATTTCGTTTCGAAGTACCGTTTCGGTCAACTCAAAAATAGAAACGTTTCGGAAACATTTCAGAAACGCAATGGAAACGCAGAAAAAATATGGAAACGCATAGAAACACAAATGCAATCCATTAATTTATAAAAATATGCTAAATAATTTATTAATTCAACATATTTATTAGGTTAACATCAATTTATACAAGAATAAATTTAAATTTGAGGAAAAAAAAGGCTTGACTTGAGGCGAAAGTCACTTAAATTAGTTTCAAACACTTAATTTTTATGAAATAAACACATTTTTACATAATATTAAGGTCTTATAATACACATGAAATGCTAATGAGTACATACTTACATGGTTACATCCATTCTCCTGTGGAGTGTCGAGCAGGCTCATACATCGGTGTAGGCTCTGGGTAGCTACTTAGAGAAACTCCATATGTGACATAAATATGATGACAATAGTTACTCCAAATCATATTATTACGGTAATATAATCCAATTAATAATACTATTTTATTATAATACTAATAATGAAGGGTATCAAATTAAATTAATGATACTTATGTATACTTAAAAATTAAATGTAATTGCAGTGGGTATTAAATATAATTACAGTAGGTATTAAATATAATTACATTAGGGTATTAAATGTAATTATTAATACTTATAACAAAAAAAAAAAGCAAAAAACTTGCACAGCAGTGAGGTATTAAATATAATTACAGTATGTATTAAATATAATTATAATGGATATTAAATATAATTATAGTAGGGTATTAAGTGTAATTATTTATTCTTATAACAAAAAAATTATAAAAGACAGAAAAGCAGTGGGAATTAAATGTAATTATAGTGGGATATTAAATATAATTATAGTGAGTATTAAATGTAATTACAGTGGGTATTAAATGTAATTATAATGGAGTATTAAATGTAATTATTCATAATGAACAGAATATATCACTGTTTTGTCGAAACGGTTCGAAACAATGCCGTTTCGACCGAAACGGTCCGAAACAGTACCGTTTCGACCGAAACACTGGAATTTTGTGATTCAACTACTGTTTAGTTTCGGAGTGTTGAAATTCCGAAACGTTTCGGACGTTTCGGACGTGTCGACACGACATTTTGATCCTTGATTGAGGTGATAAAGGATATGTATGATGGGGTTATGACTACAATTAGGTCTTCCGTGGGAGAAAGTACAGAATTTTTTATCACGGTAAAATTACACCAAGGATCAACTCTAAGTCCATATTTATTAGCCTTATATGGATGAACTCACTGGGCACATTCAAGATGATATCCCATGGTGTGTGCTATTTGTTGATGATATTGTCTTAGTAGATGAAACTCAAAGGAGGATTAACAATAAGCCAAAAATTTGATGTGTGACAAGCTATCTCTACACCCACTTCTATTGGAATCTGGCTAGCATGTAGGGCTAACAAATAGACATGCATACCAAAAAATTCAAAAAATGAGTAAGAGACTTGGTAGATTGACCACCAAATTTGCACCTCTGATACTATGTTAAAGAATCCAATTTCAAAATTAATTGACAATGAGTGGAGAGGCCCCTTAACAATATGAACTAACCTTGGGTTGTTCTAATCATTCAATGTGGGATACAAACTTTTTTTACACTTTTCCTCACGTGAACAAACAAACACACAATAGGCATGCAGAAAAAATTCAAGTGTACGAGACTTAACCTATTAATCATCCAAGGCCTAACTTTGATACAATATTAGATGATCCCATACCAATTGACAATAAGTGGAGAGACTCTTTAATCATATAAACCAACTTTTAGTGGTCCTCACCATTCGATATGTATTACAAGCACCATGTTAAGCTACTAACATTGGTAATATCTTATTGCCCTTTCTTCATAGTAAGATGCTTGAGACTTTATCCTTCCCTGGACCTTGTTAACCGGCTGACTGATTCTTTCTTCAGGAGTGCTAACACGCACCTTTACTCTCTTCACAATTTTTTGTTCAATTGGAAACACGAGAATTTTAGTAAAAAACAAATGTGAAATGTATATGAGAGGATAAGGAGCCCTAAAAAAGAAAAAAGAAGAGAAAAAAATAAAAAAGATAAAAGCTTAAAATAGAATACGGGGAAGACACTAAAACCTCAACAATCAGCATACACTTGAGGCCAATGATCCTTAATAACAAAAAAGGTTGTCTTTCAAATTCTTTAGCCGTAGAAGTCCAAACAGAAGGCATGAAAATGATTTTGTCCTATAAAAATTCCCTAGGAGTCCCTCTTCCATCAAAATTCGCCTATTTCTTTCCAAACGCACCACCTAAAACAATACTAAACGCACAATTCCATATAATCTTATTAGATTTGTTACGTTAACCATAGCAGTCAAAATGAATCTCAAAGATCAAAACACAATCTTTAGGACACACCCAAATGATTCCAAACGTACCCGAAAGCCTATTCCATAGATTTTAAACAACATAACAATGCAAAAATATTTGACCATACATTCCTTCCCATTCTTGCATAGAATGCATCATTGCAGGTGAAGAGAATAAGATGATCCTCTTGGTATTTAGTTTTTTATGTGCAAGTAACCAAGCAAAAACTTGTATTTTAAGAGAGCCTTAGGCTTCCATATCATGAATGAATGAGGTTTGGAAGATTGGGAAGCATGGTTTATCAATTAAGGACTAAAAAAAAAGATTTACAAGAAAACACCGATGAATAAGAAATGGTCCACTTTCTTTCATCCAAAGAAGAAGAATTCAGCACAACATTATCTAGAATACCCAATAACGAAGACATCTAAACAATATTTCTATCATTCAAATTTCTAAAGAAGTCCAAATTCCAACAAGTAGAGAAGAAAAAGATGAGATAATACTTAAAAAGAAGAGCTATGAGTGCTAGACAACCTATATAAATGCAGAAACATGGATTTAAAAGATGAGGCACCCCAAGTATCCTCTCACATGCGAATTCTCTCCTCATTACCAATGGTATTCTTGATATAGTTTGAAAAATTATATAAACCTTGTGAAATAAAAATTCCATGGACTATGTGAACACCCGCTCTCACTTTGGAATCCCACCAATTTTCTTGAATCCAATACATACTTTTAATCACGGCATGCCATTAACTATTGACCTCAATGGAGAATTTCCATAACCATTTTGAAGTAAGGACTCCTAAGTTTACCAAACCAGGAACTCTCTTAATTTTGGATTGGGACTCCTAAATTTCATCTCACTAAATCAATTTTGTTGCCTTCT